TGAAAAAACATGAAAGAACACAGCGGCACAGTGACATGGGATCTCGTCCATCACCTGTAAAGTTGCAGGCAGCCATGGTAAAACGCTCTGTTCCACAAGGTACAGTACTCGCTCCCATTCTGTTCCTCATCCTCATTTCTGACAAACATAGAGATGTAAGCCATAGCCCCGTGTCTTCCTTTGCGGATGACACCTGGATCACCATGGCAGTGACCTCCATCGAAGACACCGCTAGACTCCAATCGGACATCGACCAAATTTTCAAATGGGCCACTGAGAACAATATGAAGTTCAATGAGGAGAAATTTCAACTACTCAGATATGGAAAACTTGAAGAAATTAAAAATGTGTCAGGGTATACCACAAATTCTAGCCATACAATTGAGCTGAAAAGTAATGTGAAGGACCTGGGAGTGATAATGTCAGAAGATCTTGCCTTCAAAGACCACAACAGTGTATCTACCTCATCCGCTAAGAAAGTGATAGGATGGATAATGAGAACCTTCAAAACTAGGGACGCCAAGTCCATGATGATTCTCATCAAATCGCTTGTGCTCTCTAGGCTGGAATACTGCTGTACACTAACAGCCCCCTTCAAGGCTGGCAACATTGCAGACCTGAAGAGTGTACAAAGAACTTCCACAGCACACATAAGTGCGATAAGGCACCTAAACTACTGGGAACAGTTGAAGGTCCTTGATCTGTATTCCCTCGAATGCAGGCGAGATACGTGATAATATACACTTGGAAGGTCATGGAGGGATTGGTACCAAACCTGCACACAAAAATCACTCCATATAAAAGCAAAAGACTCAGCAGGAGATGCAACATTTTCCCTATGAAAAGCAAGGGTGCCACGAGTACACTGAGAGACAACACAATAAGTGTCTGGGGCCCAAGACTGTTCAGTTGCCTCCCAGCATACTTAAGAGGGATTACCAGTAGACCCTGGCTGTCTTCAAGAAGGCACTGGACAGGCACCTAAAGTCAGTACCTGACCGACCGAGCTGTGGTTTTTACGTCAGCTTGGGTGCGGCCAGCAGTAACAGCCTGGTTGATCAGACCCAGATCCACCATGAGGCCTGGTCTCAGACTGGGCCACAGGGGCATTGACCCCCGAAACCCTCTCCAGGTAAACTCCAGGTACCTGTGAGAGAGAGAGACAGACAGACAGCCAGCCAGCCACTTGACCAGCCAGCCAGCCACCTGACTAGCCAGCCAGCCATGTTGTTTACACAAACCCACGCTCCCTTCCCTACCATGCCCACTGCCTCCCCCCCTCCCACATAGTGCCTTTCCCCACCACCCACACTGCGGGAGAGTGAGGTATTCCTTATGCTTGGCTTGGTGACAAAGGCACACAATTACCACTCCCACAATGCAATGCGGGTGCATAGATTTTTTTCTTACTGCACACACTTATCACATAGACCCATTCTATCACATGTTGGCCTACCAGCCTTTACCCGCTTGATTTGAAGGTCCTAGAATTTATGCGTACTAGTACGTCAATAACCCTGGCGCGTAAGACGTACTAGTACGTCGGAAGCCCTGAAAGAGCTAAAGTACAGGCATTGTACTTCCCACCTCCAGGACTCAAGCCCAGCTAACCGGTTTCCCTGAATCCCTTCGCAAAATATTACCCTGCTCACGCTCCAACAGCTCGCCAGGCCCCAAAAACCATTCGTCTCCATTCACTCATGTCCAATATGCTCACACATACCTGCTGCGTGTCCAAGCCTCTTGCTCACAAAACCTCTTTTTCCCCCCTCCCTCTAGTGTTAACTGGAAAATATGATAACAGTGAGGATGGCCTTGTGAAGAAGTTTGCTAGTGATGTCAGTAGTGATGGGAGGATACTGATACCTTCAAAATTAGCTGACACTGATACTAAATTTTAGACCAATACTGATACCATGAAAATTTGCCATTACCCACCCATACCAATACCTTGGCGTACCCCTGGTTATCAGGAACAGTGGAAATGGCAAAGGGCATTTCATTATGAATACATTTCAGTCCTGAGACTTAGTTTACTTTAAATATACATGGGGCACAAGAACAGGTTTATATAGGGAAAGGTACATGTGAGGTAAGCTGAGCATTAGCAAGGTCAGTGTTTGCTTATATGTCTTCAACCATTACTTGTCAGTACCATGTCATAGATTTTTACCTATTTTTTAAAAGTGTGAAAGCCACTTTTTTTTTTTTTTTTTTTTTGAAGAGTAGAGGCTTGCCTGAAATGCTTTGCATGACATTGAGCTTACAACATACTCGAAAGTGTCACCCATTTCTGTATAAAGAATGTATCATGTTGAAATAAATTTGTGTTCATAAGCACATTAGCTCTAAAATCTGAAACACACTAAACACACTACCAAACACTTCTGAATGTTCCCTTCTGCCTCCGGTTTCAAAAATATTGTTTTAAAACATATCCTGAGCTTTATGGTTTTTTATGATCATATGTGTCAAATATTTTTTTGTAACTTGCCTATCCAGCTTCCACTCAACCTTCTTTCACATGCACTGTCTCCACTATATTTTTACTCCCAATAATTTTGCTATTTTGTTTTCCTGCTCCTTCATTTTGACATTGCTATTTTAGCTTTTTCACTTAGAATGATCTATGTACACAATATTCTTGCTTTCAGATATAGGAGGACCTCTTTTACATGGTGGGTTAGGTTCCAGGCTACTGCCATAAAGCAAGTCACCCTTTTTTCACTTTTAAATGCACATAAATGCCTGATAACATGTTTACACTATCATGTATTAAGTTAGCAATAAAACTAGGCATAAAACAATAAAAAAGTAAAATGTTTATACAGTACAGTGGACCCTCGGCTAACGCCTTTAATCCATTCCAGAGAGCTAGCCTTTAACCGAATTAACCATTAGCGAAATTAATTTTCCCCATAAGAAATAATGGAAATCCAATTAATCCGTTCCAGACAGCCAAAAGTTTAAAAAAAAAAAAAAATTTTATACGAAATACACATTTCCCTACACAGAAAACAATAAAATATGCACAATAATTACATATAATGACACTTACCTTTATTGAAGAGTATTGATGAGTGATTCATTGTTTTTCTTGAACACACTGGGATTTTCAGAGTGATACACCAGTAAAGGCTTCACTTTGCAATCCCCACTAGCATTACAACAAAACAAGAAAGTCAGCCTGTCTTTCATAGGCTTGTGTCCTGGGAGTGCCTTTTCCTCCTGAGTAATGTGGGTCCTGTTTGGCATTTTCTTCCAGAACAGGCCTGTTTCATCACAACTGAACACTTGTTGGGGTTGGAATTTTTCAGCTTCACCATGCCTTATCACACTGTGTATGCCACTACGATTCTTAAATCTCCCAAACCCACCTTTGCTGGCCTTAAATTCACCGATATGAGCACTACTTCCAGGCATATTTTCATGTTCGCCTGGGTGTTAGTCGACTGGTGTGGGTCGCATCCTGGGGGACAAGATTAAGGACCCCAGTGGAAATAAGTTAGACAGTCCTCGATGATGCACAGATTTTCTTGGATTATCCTGGGTGGCTAACCCTCTGGGATTAATTGTTTCTCGGTAATTGTTTCTCATTAAGCCACACCAATAACACTCTCTCCACCTCTTCGAGTAGTACAGCTGACGGTGGTGCAGCAGCAGCTGACCATGGTACAGCAGCAGCTGACCGTGGTGCAGCAGCAGCTGATGGTGGTGTAGCAGCAGCTGACCGTGGTACAACAGCAGCTGACGGTGGTGCAGCAGCAGCTGACGGTGGTGCAGCAGCAGCTGACAGTGGTGCAGCAGCAGCAGCTGACCGTGGTATGATAGTATTTTGATAGTATTTCTCACCGTTTTTACCACAGGGTTGGCACTAGAAGGTTTCTTGGGGCCCATGGTGGCTTATTTAGCAGTTACAAGCACTAAAAACAATGGAATAATACAAAATATATCACACGTACGAGTGGAATCGACCGCAACTACTTGTAAACAATGGCACACTGGCTATACACGGAGTGGCTGGGCCTGCTCAGGCATGCAGACAAGTTAGGGGGCGAAAGCCCTTAGCTGAGTTTTTTACTGTTGGTCGAGCCAATATTTTGATGCCAAAAAGCACCTTTAGCTGATTTTGGTGTTAGCTGATGCCACCATTGGTTCGGGGTCCACTGTACACTCATTACGTACCTTAAAATATTTTTTGGCCTTTGTGGAGTGAGAGGTGAGTAGTATTTATTGAAGGAAGTCAGGAGACAAAACCAGCCTCTGCTGGCTTCAAATTTATTTTCAGCAGCTTCCTCACCCATATTGCACTAGTTTCATTCTCATTGTAATTTCTTTTTTTAATTTTTAATTTGGAATAATTAAGTAATCATCAGTACTTCATGAATTATTGTGTGTCTGCTCTTGTATCTGAATTGCCTCTGCAGAAAAAAAAATCTGAAACTTGAGGTGATAACAGTGATTGGTGCTCTTTCAAGCAAACTTTTCATATTTATGATTCTATTCACTATAACTTGATGGTCTGTACAACTAAAAATAACTTTGTACCCTTTCTCTTATACCTGGAGTTTACCTGGAGAGAGTTTCGGGGGTCAACGCCCCCGCGGCCCGGTCTGTGACCAGGCCTCCTGGTGGATCAGCCAGTGATCAACAAGGCTGTTGCTGCTGGCTGCACGCAAACCAACGTACGAGCCACAGCCCGGCTGATCAGGAACTGACTTTAGGTGCTTGTCCAGTGCCAGCTTGAAGACTGCCAGGGGTCTGTTGGTAATCCCCCTTATGTGTGCTGGGAGGCAGTTGAACAGTCTCGGGCCCCTGACACTTATTGTATGGTCTCTTAACGTGCTAGTGACACCCCTGCTTTTCATTGGGGGGATGGTGCATCGTCTGCCAAGTCTTTTGCTTTCGTAGTGAGTGATTTTCGTGTGCAAGTTCGGTACTAGTCCCTCTAGGATTTTCCAGGTGTATATAATCATGTATCTCTCCCTCCTGCGTTCCAGGGAATACAGGCAACTGGAACCAAAGTGTCCCCTGGAGGAACCAGAATTAGTCCTGGACGTCTTACCTTGGTTAAAACAAGTCATGGATCTGTAATGAGTGGTCATAGCTGTAGTCCTACTAATGTACCTGCTAATACCTCAGGCCATACCATACCATATGGTACAGTTCAAGTTCCCAGAACACCATCTAGTCGGCATTCTTCGCCACCTCAACCTTATCACGTAATTGGACACCAAAATCCTCATCAGCGGCACTCGGAAAATGATTTACACGTTGGAACACCTGTCCGACATGGTATGTCTTGCCTCATTCCAGTTACATTGAAAATGCCAATAGAGTTTCTTTATAGTGTTAATTGGAATGTATTTGTGAAAGTTTTAACTTGCTTTGGCAAAGGTCAAACTAAATTAATGCAACACATCCTTCATGCTATATGCTATTAAAAAAAAGCATCTATTAATGTCATTTAATGTTAGTATTATTTCATGCATTATTATTAATATTATTATTATATTATTATTATTGTTATTATTATTTACAGTAGAACCTTTCAATAACAGACTAATGGGTGGAGGGGATGTATTCTGTGCCAATTGTCTGAAACTCCCAGACTATAAAGGTAATATTTTATGATCATCCAGTTATCTTCTGAAGTAGTGGACTTGGTCTGCTGATGCAGAGGACTAATACAGGTATTATAACCTATAGTAATACAATATAGTGTTGTACTGTAATTTTATAGTACGTACAGCAGGCCCTTGAATAGCATCATTTCATTCAACATTGTTTTATTATAGCATTGATGAGAACAAAAAAATTGAATGAATACAATGAATACAAATAATTGTAAAATAAAAGTTTGTAAAGTACACAATAATCATACAAATGCATGACAATAAATGATGCAGTACGAAAGTGCTCAACGAGCCCGCAATATTTCGGATTGTTTTTGAACTGCATGGTGATAGGTGCTCTTTACAATTTTTGCTTTCCAAATATTTATTCCTTGATTTAAAACTGTTGCAAGAGTGCTAAAGGTGCACTGTGCACCCCTGATGTTTATAGCCATAAAAAAAATAGTATGATAGAAACTAAACCAGAAGTTTCACAGAGGTATGATAAAATTGGTTTCATTGTAGGTCGTTTTGCTTAATGTCGCAGTTTCCGAGAACCTGTCAATAATAATACAGCCTCTCCTCACTTAACGATGGAGTCCAGTTCTTAAGACCACGTCGGTAAATGAATTCGTTGCTAAGGAGCATACTATCATGGTAGTGGGTTTGTGTCAACCATCTCTGATATTGTTTTGATGTCACCTTTGCACCCTTTATAATATTTCTGGTATATATTTAGATGTTTATACAGTGGTGTACTATATATGATCATATATGTAGAGAGAGCCCGCCGTAAGTCCGAGGTGTCAGTAAATAAGTACGTCACTAAGTGAGGAGAGGCTGTAATAATATAATGTCTTTATTTATACAAGTACATGTACAAAATATACAGGCCTAGCTGACATCAATGACATACTACTATATAGAAAGCTGCTTGTTATGCTGAGCATTTCAGGCAAATTAGGTCAGTTTTGTTCCAGGATGTGACCCACACCAGTTGACAAACACCCAGGTACCCATTTTATACTAGCTAGCGATCGAGCTACGGGACACCCATTAAGTGAGGACTTGCTATACTCGACATAATTTACAGTAATTTTACTCATCTTTTCATAGTGGAGAGATGAAGTGTAAACTGCTGTAATTGATAATATTGACTCAAAAATTTTTAGTCAGTCAGAAAAACTGAAGTGCTACTAGTAAAAATAATGTAGATGGCTGAGATCTAGAGGACTAAGAACCTCGTGCTTTAGAAGCATTGTTAATAAAGTCACACAAAATGTTATAATTCCATGAAAAAATTAGAGACTGAATAACGAGCATATGTGCAAGTGACCACAAACAATAAACTGGTGCAGGTGGCCTGTGGCTTAGGAAACGATGAAAAACAGACAGATCCTGGATGTGGCTGCTTTGACCCATACTGGACAAACATCAGAGATAGTGGACTTGGCTTGATACTTCAGAAGACAACCAGATGCTATCGTACAGAAAAATGTGGAATTACGGAATTTTGTCTGAAGTTGCCGAGGTCCATTAATGTGAATTTTTACTTTTTTTTTTTTTTTTTTTTTTTTTTTTTTTTTTTTTTTTTTTTTTTGGCTTCAGTGGCTACCTCCCACCAAGGTAGGGTCTAAAAAATTAAAGACATTCACCATCATTTATTCAATCTCTGTCTTTCCAAAAGTGTGATAACATCACACTTTGGATTATCCTCTGACTGTATCATCATTTTTTCTTCAGAATGTGGATACAGCAGGGCCCCACTTATACAGCAGGTTAGGTTCCAGGCTACCGCTGTAAAGCAGAAATCGCCGTAAAGTGGAACACCCTTTTTTTCCACTTATAAATGCATACAAATACTAGATAACAAGTTTACACTAAAATATATTAAGTTAGCAATAGAACTAGGCATCAAAAAAAAACAATAAAAAAGTACAATACACACATAGTGCACTCATTACTTACCTTAAAATATTTGTAGGCTTAATCTAGGGTGAGACAAGTAGTATTTATTGTAAGAAATCAAGTGTGGTATGTATGGTAGTCAGCCGGGCTACCATACCAGGCCACCCCACCTACACAATATTCTATTACATTCAAGCATCCCAGAGCGATAAAATGCATATACAGTTTACTCATTACCTACCTTAAAATATTTGTAGTCTTAATTTATTTAATGTCTATGCAAACAGTACATTTAGATTGTGTATATACAATAGTGGGTTGCAATACAAAGAGAGCCTCTATTATGCCTTGGCATTATGGGCCAACTTAACATTATTGGCTTACATTCTACTTAATACTAAGGAGTAGTATATCATAGTTGTACAGTAGGAAAGTAATTATTTCATAGTTGTACAGTAGAATATTAATTATAAATGAATCAAAATTTGCATAATACAATGAATGGAGACGAATGATACTTGGGACCTGACGATCTGTTGGAGTGTGAGCAGGGTAATATTTAGTGAAGGGATTCAGGGAAACCGGTTATTTTCATATAGTCGGACTTGAGTCCTGGAAATGGGAAGTACAATGCCTGCACTTTAAAGGAGGGGTTTGGGATATTGGCAGTTTGGAGGGATATGTTGTGTATTTTTATACGTATATGCTTCTAAACTGTTGTATTCTGAGCACCTCTGCAAAAACAGTGATAATGTGTGTGTGGTGAAAGTGTTGAATGATGATGAAAGCATTTTCTTTTTGGGGATTTTATTTCTTTTTTGGGTCACCCTGCCTTGGTGGGAGACTGCCAACTTGTTGAAAAAAAAAAAAATATTTGTATTCTAAAATGTTTTGTGAAAAACAATGATTCAATTATATTCCTGTCAACAATGAATAAAAGGTTCAATGTGATTGTTTCAGTTATGATGTGGGAGTACATAGGTGAGTAAATGTGTACTGAGTATTTAGCATTTAGTCTAGGGTGATTAAGTGGCTTTTGAGAATAGTCTTAAATTGATTTTCAGACTGGGTTACTTTAATATCTTATGGTAATGAATTCCATATTTTGGGGCCCTTTATGCGCATAGAGTTTTTACAGTGTGATATGGACACGAGGTATATCAAAAAGAGATCTGTCTTGTGTTGTGGTCATGTGTCCTGTTTAGGTTGGTGAGGAAAAGTTTGAGTGGAGGGTTTATATTTGCATGTATTGTTCTGTGTATGTAGTAGGCACATGAATAAGTATGGATGTTCTTAATGGTAAGCAGATTCAGACTTTTGAAAATTGGTGGAGTATGCTGGCGGGAGTGGGAATTTATCATCATTCTTACTGCTGCCTTTTGCTGGGTTATTAGGGGTTTTAGGTGATTGGATGTTGTTGATCCCCATGCACAAATTCCATATGTAAGATAAGGGTATATGAGTGAATGGTACAGTGCCAGGAGAGCTGATTGTGGAATGTAGTACCTTATCTTTGATAGTATGCCTACAGTCTTGGGTGCCTACAGTCAAGGGTGAGTAAACGAGATAAAATGAATAAATGAGAGAGAGAGAATATGAGTACATGAGGGAGGACAAGTGCAGAGTTATATAAACAAACCAGGCGAACGTAAGTTTTGTAAACAAACAAAGTGTACACGTCTGGTTTGTGTACAAGTTACATTGTGTACAGGTTGTCTCTACATTGATACGGTAGAATAAATAAAGAAGAACACTCCCATTCTCATGTAACACCATTTTTAGAAGAAATGACGCTCTGAGTGAAGGCAATGGAAATAAGTCACTCTGGCTTTTTTGGGTTATCCTAGGTTCTCTACACACATGCTGTTATGTATGATATCTATGTAACTGTATTTGTGTATACCTGAATGAACTTACATACATACGAAAGGAATAATTTTCAACAATTCCCCCCAGTAAGACATTTTCTCTTATGTTAGACTAGAGAAAATGTTATTCTTGCCGCCACTTGTACAAGTTATCTGGCTACGACATCTTATATTTATGTTTATTTATTCTATTTCGGGGTGTATTTATCATCTTTATATGTTATGTATCATGTTTATTATATAATTTTGAATAATTATCATGGATGGATTAATGAAAATGTGTATATTGACGTAATATACTAGCCCGTTGTTCCCGCACCACTCGCCGGCAGCACCGGCATCCTAGCAACTCTTATTCTTCAAGAAACCATCGCTCATCAAAGCTTGTGATGGCCTAATTGAAGGTACAACTACATGAACCCACATAGAGCACAAAATGACCCAAGAATACTAAGAATGTAACCCAAATCTTGACAAAATAGAAGATCTAAGGAAGACAGCCTTGCTAACCTGAACACTGCCTCCACTGCCAGACAATCACTTAACCCAAGCTCAGGGAAATCAAGCCTTCTCCTCCATAGCTACACAGTATCTACTCTAGTGATACTATGAAAGGATATCACAGATGAAACAACAACAGTAAGAAAAGAATAACACCAAGGACCCTAGAACTCGACTTGTCTACCCAGAAGGACGCCGGTGTATCATCAACCCCCCTCACCACTACAACCCAGAGAACAACAACAACAAACATGGCTGACTCCCCCTCCAACTCCACTCCCTTCAAAGGATTCACCCATGATAACTCAGGTATGATTATTCCTGACAATATCAGGGACTACATCGTTGCTTTAGAAAACAAAATCAAAGATATTAAAGCAACACTTGCACGATGAGAATTCAA